TAGGTGAGGATGAAAAGGCAGGTCAGTTAGCCCATTGTGACGAATTCAATGATAAATTGGTTATGATAGTTTCCAGGGGGAACCGCGTGGAGGTTGACCTGATAGGGTATATTGATAGCAATGGGGATTAAATTTCCCATTACTAACAATCCCTTCCCCTCCTGTGGGCGTGGTTACCATTCCATTCTCATCCATTAAAAACGCCTAACACGATATATTCAGCTGTCAAGTTAGTATGGACACAGATATGGTACGGGCTAAACAAAATATTTTGTTACTATGCTACTTTAAAAAAAAATATTAAATTTTTATATATATAACAAAGGTACACATGGCAGACATATCACCAAATGTGTTCTCTACCAGTGAACAAACGTGCAAACAGAGATGTTGATACTGCTAAACATAGTCCACCTCCATAGACAACTATAAGGAACGGTCCTGAGCCATCTGCATCCCTGCAATGCATTTAAGATCATCACTGCATCTAATAGAAGTTCGTCCTGTACTGTGTTTGTTAGTACGTGCTCGCCACTCAAGAAGCTTTCTTCCTCATCGGTTGTAGCTTCTTCAAGCTATATCACCAGTGAGTGTTGTTTCGCTATATTTATTTTTATAGTGTTTGCTAGCAATTATGCTGTAACTACTAATTTTGTGTATAGAAACTACAATTTCATTTTATAAACACTAACAAAGCGCTTACCTAAACTATATTTCGTAACTATCGCCCCCAATGATAATGAGAGGTCGAAAATCGATAACAGGATTAAGCTGGTAAATTGGATATTGAGCATAAGCCGGGATAAGTTCGCGGTGGACACAGCAAGTATTTGTAATTAGCAGTAACTAAGAGGATCGAGGGCGATGTCTGATTAAAACTGGCTTAACTAGAGCAGTTTGCCGGCGTCCGTTGCACACTGTACAAATGGCGGGCAAGCCAATCAGTGAGGTTAAAAAATAATCTTTACACGATTCATAATAAGATTCATTTCGAGTAACTCGCCTATAAAATTATACATGTATGATAGTATTACGTGCTTAACGCGACATACCTATTAAAATTGGATGGATAATAGAGATTATTTGAATTAAGACTTGCCCAAATCGACTGTTTTAATCTTACAGGATCAGTTGTTTTAAATATATATATAATAATTATGTTTTAGACACAGATGACTTTTAAAATCGAAATTTTATTGGACGATTTTTTTATATGTTCTAACTCACAGTTACCTATCTTGGAGTCATACGTTTAATGGTTTATAAAGAATGAGAATTAATGCTATTATTTAGGTAAATTACGATAATTTATCTGAATTATCTCGGCGTTTTGACCAGGTTACGCCTGTCATGAGTAGTTATAGTTAAGCTAAATGACCACGTTAATGCCCGTTTCTTATAAACCATAAGACATGCAGTGCGATAGTCTTAAAGTTTAGCATGTTTGTTTTATTTGAACTAGTAGTGAATAGAGTGATCGGTGGTACAACAAATCGTGTACAATAGGTATGGATCATATCTTTACCGCTCCGATATCTATATATTGGGTATCATCCATATCAATCAGATATTTATATTCATATCGATATTATATATTGGATAACCGATATGTAGCATATCCATTCTAAGATTAATATACAGATATTATAATAACAGTTTATAGATTTTGATTATTTTTACCCTTATCCATCATTACCCATCTCTAGTGTATATATATATATATATATATATATATATATATATATATATATATATATATATATATATATATATATATATATATAAATATATATAAATATTTGAAGTTCAATTATGATTTTTACTAGCAAAATAAATAAATAAATAAAAATAAATATATATCGACATTGTCAATCTATGAAGATACCAATACACTTGGATTAACGTCTCCTCTAGAAGCATTTAGAGTATTTTTCCTGTACTCAGATACAGGATAAATATTTGAATTGTCTGGCATGTGAAGAAAATCAATAGTATAAAGGAGATGTCTATTTTGACGCGATGACACACTAATGGATGTGTTATGCTGACAGAAGATCTACAGAAAACATACCTATACTATATAATATAATAAAATGGGAAAGTTTGTTTTTTTGAGTGCGATAATATCTGGAACTATTAGTTGGATTTGAAAAAATATTTTTACATTCGGCAGCTCATTTCTTTAGGAAAGTTATAGGGTATTCAACATCACGATACGATTACAGGCGAACCAGCAGGATACAACTAGTATAATGTACCATGTATATAATGTTCGTACCCGTTTGTTGATAACTAATTTTACTTTTCATTTTGGAAACATAATGGCGTAACGTTGTCGTGTTGGACTTAATAATACCTATTAATTAAATTAACTGTCGGGTTTTGTTAGAGTTTAGACTACAATTTATTATTTTATACAGTCGTTATTCAGCTTTCACAATTAGGATAATTTAATGACACTCCATTTATGAAAATCTATTGAGTCATAGCGCTGAATATTTAGACATAACATTCACAGACACAAGTACATACATAAAAACGTAACTACAATATGATTCTTTAAAAAAAGAATACAACTGATTTGGAAATTTTCTTCTTTTTGATGTCATTTGAGAAAGCAACTTCATTCTAGCAATTTTACTATTCTTAACAAATAAAACACAACGATCAATGAACTTTGAAGATCATTAAATTTAGAATTATGTGTATACAAGTAAATTCACTTTAGAAAAAAGAAGGCTTTAATCGTCACAAATCGTCTTGGAATCAACTTGGGAGTAAATTCAGTCGATAACAAAAATAATTATCATTTCAAAATTAGTAGAACTTCCTCCTTTTAGAAGTCGGTTAAAAATGAGATGTTAAATTAAAAAAAAACAAATATTGTAACAAAGTTATATAACGATACACTCACAGTAATTAAAAAAATAGGAAATATGATAGAAGTTGAAAAGAAACGATTCAGGGCACATTGTATTGAATAATTAAACGGCGCAGCATTTTCGACTGAAATTACTGGATTATTGAGTCCTAACAATTAAAAGTTTCAGAATTCAATTAACAATTAAGGTTTAACGACACAGCTGCGCTACTGATTGGACTTTCATATAAATTAATTTCAACTTATGCGAATATGAAAGGTATCTGTTGCTAAACTTATGCTTGTAATTTTAATAAGTCTTGTATAAAGTTACTTGCAAGTTGTCCTTCTAGAGTGTCTACATATAAAGAAATACAATTTAAAATGGCATCTATCAAACAACTGCAAAATTAGGCTTCAATTTAGGATTCAGAATTAGTGAAAAAAGTACGTAGCACAAAAAAAAATATACAAAAATTTTTTAAACCTTTTTTAAAATAATTTTAAGATTTGTGCAGATAAGGTTTCCATAATTTTCGGTATATAATTTTGCCACAGTAGAACACTAAATTGTATGTTACAATGCACACGTGTTTTTGGAAGTGCGTGGTTAACACAAAGAAAAAAATGTCCTATGCAGACAAAATGTACCGTGTGTAAACTGGGTTTTGTTAAAAAATATATTTCCTGATATTAACCATTATTGAAGGGCTAGTTTGTGCGTTATGGTGTTATAATTATTAGAATAAATAAATATTTTACTGTTACAAAAACTTTGCGTGTAATTTAAATTGTTCCGAGTGACAGCGGTAGATTCGCCATCTGCCATTACGGGTTCTACTACGCTCGGCAAAAGCTGGGTATGGCGAGCAAATACCAAATGCCTGTGAACCCGCTATTAGAGATTATAGTAACGATCTTTTTCATTATTTCTCGAGAAAAGTATATAATAATTGTAAATTTATTGTTACAGCCATATTCCCTTATATTTACTCCATTTACTTCTCTTAAGCTTCACGTTGCATGTGCCGAGGTGTGAGGAAACAAAAGAGATTGTTACCGCGTCAGATTCAGACATGCAATCTAAAACTTATTGTTTTGTTTTTAAACGATATTTGAACAAAGAACTTTTTTAATAATTTTCCTTCCTTTTTGTTTATAAATACTTAAATATATACATTTTTTTTTGAAATTATCGTGGCAAAGGATTCTTGTATAGTTTGTTAATAAGTTTGTATTTTAGATAAAAATATATATTATCTAACAAATATGTTTGTTAAAATCATCGTATATTTACATATGTATTACATACTCGTACATACAATACTAGGACTATCGGAAAAATATTACTTATTCTTTATATTACTTCTTGTACTTAATGATAAAAATGTATTTTTTTTATTTATTTCCTATTAGTTTATATCCGACATTACATCAATGTGACCGGGATATGTTCATTAATCAGGACAAATAATAGTCCAAATTGTACACTTCCGTTTCCATCCCAAATAGTACGTGTATTTCTAATTTTATAGTGATTGATTGAGTCATTAAGACATCAAGAACAAATGAACAAATTTACTTTGATATTTGTAATATTAGTATGTATAATATGTCGTAAAATGTGTATATAAATATGTATATATATACATATTTTACGAATTATTAAATATTTATGTGGTAAATTAGAATATAACTATTATTATTATATAGGTAGAGCATCGAGATTTTTGTCAAATAATTGGCAAATAAGGACATGATTTTTTTATAAGTGTCCTATATACTTACGCATACAATGTATCTTGACCTATTATTTAATAAATAAAATAAAGTGTTTACATATTTAAAAACATGCAGAAATTATAAGACAAAATAAATATAGAACTTATAAAGAAATCGCTTATAACTATTTATCATACAAAATTGTATGAAAAAGTTGAACCGTTTTTCTTAAAGCATTTCTATGAAGACATTCTATCTATATAATCTAAGCATATAACTTATACGTGTACCAAATTTTATTCAAATTCATTCAGTAGTTTTGTATGGAAGAGTAAATAACACTCAAACTTTCGTATTTATGTAATATAATGATGATGTTGTATAATACAAAGTTTTCTCATTAATATTTGTTATTTACCTGTAGTAGAGTAGAGAGACGAGGGCATGAAGCAGCAAGTTGACGAGGTGATAGCCCGCCGGCTGCAGGCCGTGGACAGCATAGTTCCACCTGAAGGTGAGCACTGTCAGTGGCCGATACGATTTGTGGGACTGCTCCTGTAAACAAAATAATTAAGATTAAAATATAATTCTTACTTGGTTCATCATAACACTGGGTTCTATAGCTTAAGGACCAGGCAGTTGGTGTGAACGTTTGGCACTTATACATATATAGGTAGATACAAAGCCAACTTGCAATAATTTAATGCTTTTATTTGATTTGCAATGTTGGTTAGTTGATTTAGGTCAGATCTTGTAAACTGAATTAGAATCTCTCAACCGATTTTGCTGCAACTTTATATACACCTTTAGTGTCTGTGACAAAATATTAAGAGTATATTATATTATATATTGTAATATTTTCAAAATGATCGCCATCATGACACGGGTAAGATTAATATGGATATCAAATGAAAAATATTGAAGAAGTGGTAATGTCAATAATACAAATGGTATTATTTTTTAAAATATAAATATAATGGTATTATTTTTTAAAATGTAATCCACTATCTTGTAGTTGCGGTCACTTTAGTGACCGCAACTACAAGATAGTGGATTACATTAAAAAAGCTTGCATTTAAAAGATTTTTTTTTAAGTTTTTTATTTGTCTCAACTCTGCTCGGTAATTACAGTGACAATATTCTTTTAAAATCCTACGACTTCTTGACAAATATGCATTATTATATTTTCACTAAAATTCCCCACGTTAATTACGTTTATGAACTCCCCTGAACAAACGTAATTCCTTAAATCACTATGTATCCATATGGTATTTTTTTTTTAATTACTACGATTAACTGCGACAGTTCCCACGTAATAACACCACGAATTACTAAAAGTACCCAACCTAAAAAGCTCTTTTAAGGCACGAGTTTCGAACAAAAATGTTTGTGTGTCATAAACATGATTCATAGGCGAGTAAAATTAGCAAGTGGAACGGCAATATAGCTGGGTGCTTCTTTAAATGAAATTCCATGTCAGGTAGGTTGCTAGTGGCGTAATGGGAGGACATTTATCAAACATAACAATATGGGGGGAGGAGGGTGTTAATAAATATCACTTGTCGCAACTTCAGAAATCCTATAGATTGTTGCCTTCGAGCGGAATATAGTTATGGATGGTATTTTGATTTCTATGGGTGTAATGCAGTTTAAGTTTGTATTATATAATCAAAAATTAAAGATAATGATAAAATTTATCTTAGATAAATCGGTTTTTTTTTTAAATATTTATTAATTGCTATTTACTAATGTTGTAAATTCCGTGTGGTCTCGGCATCAGAATAGCACTCCTTCCTTTCCCGTGGTCGTCGTAAAAGATGACTAAGGGAAGTTAATGGTCGAGGAATGGGAAGCAACGTCCGTTTTAAAACATCTTCAAAACTTAACTACGGTTGCTAATCCGCCTATCAAGCGTGGCAACTTATGGCAAAACCCCCCTAAGGAGAGGCTTATGTTCAGCAATGGACAGTTAAAAGCTGTTATGATGATGATGAATGTTGTAAAATTTAAATTATTGTACAATTTGGTATAATTTTATATAGAATAAGTATGAAAATTACACCATACAAAGAAGAATTCAGTTAAATTACTATGGACGTGTTAAAAGAAATAACACGTCTAAACTGTTTAATTTCCCTTCATTCTTGTTAAAACGAGACACAAAAACTCTAGTAGTATGTAGTATTGGTACCTAAGGAATGTGTAATATGGAATTAAGGTAGCATGGTCATTGGTCGGGTCCAACTTTAATAGACAGTTAAGAGAACCCACTACTAAAATACTTGCTAGGGTCTTATTTTAAAAAAGGAATAGGAATCCCAGTAATTCTGTGAATTCCAATTTAGGACACCTGAATAAATTTGAGTATAATATCATTTGTCCGTTCTTCTTAAAACGTTAAAGCGTAACTGCGGTTGCCAAGCGTGACAATTAGTAGCAAATCCTTTCTAATGGAGGAGGGCTATGCTAGCTGTTAACAGCTGTTACGATGATAAAGAAGATAGTGATAGCACAGGCGAGATTCTCATTCTATTATCATCCATTAAAAAATGTCAGGTGAACTCTGGTGTTATTGAATTGTATATATGCGTAACTATTATTCTAACAGGTCTGACCTAGTTGTAAAAGTGTTTACATTGGTAATAAAGATACCTTTTCTGTGTATACTTTTAACTTTCTAATAGTTTAGATAGTTTTGGCTGTCCAATGATGCCATTAAAGTATTTATAATACCATTATTGAATAAACATACTTCAGCGACGGATTTTATATACTTAACACAAAGTCAATAGAGTAATTTTCCCTGATTATTTCCCGGAATTTCTTTAATGAGTTATAATGGAATAAATGTTCGAAACACGAAGGGAGTGTACCAACATTGAAATGTAATTAAGTGTTACAAATTAATGTGAGGCAACCTTATCCTGGATATAGTGGTAGTAAAATAAATATTAATTTCTTTATTTTTCGGTTAAATCTCTCAATATTGATGCAGTAACGAATTTAATCGAATAATGCACAAAGCAATTTTCCATTATTATTTCCAAGAATTTCTGTAATAAGTTGTAATTGAATAAATGTCCGAAACACGAAGGGAGTGCCCCGACACTAAAGTGTAATTCTGTTACAATTCAAAGTGACGCAACCCTCTCCTGCATTGTGGGCCGCATTCATCAGTCACACCGAAACAAATTGATGGGTTATGATAAATAATAGAGGGCGACACGGCGGCACGACGCGGAAGCAGGATCGTGTCAGCCTCGCCGTCGGGCTCATATGTCAATCTGGAGTACTGCATGCGTTCCTATTAGATTTATTTGTTTATATTGTCACATCTTTTATTTTTGTCTCAAAATTTAATTATACAATCTATAAATCTATACTAATATTATAAAGAGGAAAGATTTAATTGTTGGTTCGTTTGTAGTGGATAAACCCAAAAAATACTCAACTGATTTTTAAAAGTCTGTCCTTTACAGAAAGCTACATTATTAGCGAGTAACATGGATTTGAGAGAGTAAATTCTTCATCCAGTTGGTGCTCAGAGATCTATCTTTGAGCACTAACTGAATGACGTTATCTACAGCGTCGTCGAGTTCAATCCAGAAAGCGATGGCGTGATGATTTAGACGCGTTTAACAGAAACTAGTGCCCCAAAACAGACATTTTTAGAAGGTAATGAGGGACTATAGATTAATTAAATAACCAATTACAGAAAAACAATATTCACGGCGTTTCTCCCACTGCGAATGTCGAAAGTAACTTTGCCAATCATTGCTAATGTTTTTTCTTTCCTTCTTTCTTAAGAAAAGTCCGTTTAAAAATACTGTGTCGTTGGCCCTAGTTTCTTTTAATCTATTGCGCAAAGTCGGTCGATCTTCTGTCAGTCCGGTCGGTTGATTCTGAATCAAGAATCAACGTTTGAATGTAACCTATTAGCTTTTACTCGAGACTTCGTCTGCGTAACCGGAATATCTTCACTGACCGGGATAAAAAGTAGCTTGTTCTGTACCGTCCCAAATAGTACGTGTTACCAAATTTCATAACGATTGGATAAGCCATTAATGTGCCGAGTGGTAACAAACAAACATTTATAATATTAGTAAGGATTTGCAATCGTCGTATTTGAATGGAGGCGAACCGTTGATGTTCAGAGAATTCCGTCAATTAGCTAGCGGCGGTTTAAGTGTAATGCAAACATTCTCGCATCGGGATTATTTTAGGGAATTTGCTGTCTCAAACTCAACCTGCCAGATGGTAACAGCTTCTTATATTTGTTCTGAAGATTAATGTCTAGAGCTGTCGCCGTGTAATATCACGAAGAGTGGGATCGGATGCCGGCAAGATATAGAAATGCTGTATTAACACCATTGTCTGTGTTCTGGTCTCCTTAAAGATTAACGTGATACACGTGTTGCTAGAACAAAAGCATTTGTAAAGTCTTATATTCGTATTACGTTTGACTATATTCAGGGTAAATAGTGGTTAAAAAAATAAATAAAAAAGAATTTAAATGCGTCTAAGGGTTATAAATAAATTGTTTTCTTTTTTCATGTAGTGTATGTAACAAGCGCAACAATATCTGCAGAAACAAAAAAAAGATATGATAGTGATATCAGCTGTGACTGTCCACTGCTGTACATAGGCCTTTCCCTTATAATGGGTGTTTTGCTAGTAGTTGCCACGCTTGGCAGGCGAGTGGGCATTCGCAGTTAGGCTTTGGTGATATTAAGAGGGACACTGTTGCTTATTCTATAACCAGTAAGATACTGTGATTTTTTTTTAAATGGGTGAGAATGGAATGGTCTACTCTATCGGCATATGTTGGCGAGGCACCGATGAGAGATGACAGACGAAGATGAAAGCAGGTTATATGGCACATCGCGAGGAATTCATTAAGATTAACTATGATGGTTTCCAGGAGGAACTACGAATGGGTCGACCTGGCAGAGTATATTATTAACAATGGGGATACTAGTTCGCATTACTAACAACCTTCCTCTTTCACCATCACTATAAATTTTTGGTACTATGTGGAATGGAGAAAGATAGGTAACTTTTATTTTGGTCAGTAAACATCCCGGTCACGCAGACAAAGTCGCAGGTAAAAGCTAGTCTCAGTAGTTAGAAAGGTAACGATCACCACATTTCGGAGTGACATAAACTTTAAGTTTATGAAACTGAACGAGTTTCATAAGAAACATCCATTAAAAATGTGTTCAACAACCGCGATCTATCCTTGACAGTCTAACAAATAGCGTGCGATCACGTAATGTATCTAATATGAAAAATTCTAAATGATTTTCATATTTTGAACATTACACAAAGAGAGTGAAAAAGATAGAAGTGTTGTAATCAATATTGAAATCGAAAATAACATTTTAAAGACTTACAATTTTCAAAATATTAAACTGGAAATATAAATAACAAAAAGAATAGAAATCATCAACATGATTTTTTTTAATGGGTGACAATGGTATGGTAACCCCGCCTGCGCTAACGGGATATGCTGGCGGAGCACCAGTGAAGGGTGATAAATGAGAATGAAAACAGGT